TATCAGTTCAAAAAGGGCAAATTGGCGGTTGGTGTAAAAGAAAAAAAAACAAAAAACAAAAACGCTATCACTTGACTTAAAATATTTTTGCCTTTCCTCGCCTTTAAAGGAGTATCCTTTGCCGTGCTGATGTTGCTACATGCCTTACTTCTTGCCTATCTCACACTGCGAATTTTTTCTAAGCTCTATACTAAACATTAAATCTGTTACGAAAAAGGAACTAAACAAAATGAACACAAAACGATCAGCTTTAAAAAAGAATGTTAACAACAAATACTTTTTCACACCCAACCCAGTTCTGCGGAATCAGAATCAACGTTGAGTTTAAGCAAGCGAATGAGCCAATTGGAGTAAAGTGCCATGCAGATTTAAATTTTTCCCACTTGTGACGAATGCAGCTATCGATTTTTTTTGCATGCTAGCATTCTAGTTAACATTCGTGTCAGTCAGCTGTTGGCTCTCACGTTGGCCAATAGAATCTTCCTGCCTATTCGTGGCAGCCAGCTATAGGCTCTCACTCTGGCCAGTAGAAAATGGCCGCAAACTACATGAAAACTGCCGTAGAAGCATGAAAAAATCGATTATTTCCACTATCGATGGAAGTTGGGAAATGCAAAGTCGGTCTTGGCCTTCCCGCTAACTTGGATCATGTGCATGTAAATTTTGGTGCAAATCCGTCGAAAAATTGCGGCCGTGTATCCGTTACACACACACACACACACACACACACACACACACACACACACACACACACACACACACACACACATATCCTGCCTTTTATAGATAGAGATATATAAGAGTTAGATTAGATGTTTTTAATTTTTATATTATTTTTCTAAATCTATTTAAACCTAATCGTATTTCTTCATCAGTAACAAGGTTTTGGAACTTATTATTGATAAGTATTGATCTGAAAAGGTTAATTCAGAACTTGACCCGAATTTTAAGGCTAATGTTTTGACTTTGTTGTAATTTGCCGAGGTTGGGTGAATCTACCCGCAGCCTATTCTATGTCAAATTTCCTTATCTTCTATACTATATTTATTATGATTGATCCATTCACATAGATATTCGAAGTGTTTAATATTTACTAATTCAACATACAGATATGATGAATTAAGGATAGGTGCGATTACTGCTTAGGTTCCAGGGAAAGAAACGGTTTTCCCCTTTTTGCCAAATCTGTATACCTTTGCAGAAACGTTGAAGGAATATTATTTTGGTAACTACGATGCGACTGTTTAGATGCGTGTGTAAGAATGTTCATTTGTCTGTTGTCGCCAAAACCGACACCTCGCCTTCGACATGTACAGCAGTTCTCTGGAATGCCAACTCAGCCTCTTGAAAAGCCACAAAGAAGAGACAACAAATAAAAGATATCAGAACGGGTAAGAATAAACCACGAAGACGAAAAATGAAGAGCGCGAAAACTTGGAGATAACCATAAAAGTGAAGGAATGGGAATGAAAAGAAGAAAAGTAAATTAAAAGAAGAACAAAAAAAAGAAAAGCTAACGAATGACGTTGAAAGAAAAAGGAAAAATAAATTGAATGAACGAAGTGAGGGAATTAAGATTGATGGCAGGAAATTTCTGCAAAAGAGAAAAAAAAATAAACAGTAATTGTGAAGAAGAAAGAATATCAAGAATATGGTGTAATGGTTAGCGGCTTGGATTGAGGAATCGGAGAGCCGATTTCGAATTCCAATCGAATCAATTACATTCACTTACGTGATAATAATACCCCTGAGAAAGGTATGAATCCTCTTCCTTATGGGTAAATAGCAGGACAGACTGGGTTCTTTAGCCTTGGATGGCAACTGGTCTAGGAGAAGAACAACTGAATTCAAAACCTTCGGAGGGTCGTTCGGGGACCTTGTGGCACTTAGTGCACTCAGTCTCTGTATTCAGCTCTTCAAAAAGTGTGGATGGTCCTGCACAAAACCTTCACCACTATAATCAAATCTCATGTGCTGGTGTCGGACTGTCTGTTCCTATGAACCCATCTGCTTGACCCTCATACGTCGAATTCGACAGGAAAGTCGAGTATATATATATATATATATATATATATATATATATATATATATACACCAGATGTAACAGCAAAACTCTTCAAATCCTGTAGCAGCATGGGATAATTGTCCATCCCACAAAATGTTTAATATCTAAAAACTGAGTTTCTTTTTTTTTCCGGTTTTTCAGATAAGACGTTTAGCCATCTTGACACCATTTGTCGTAAGAATCACCGAAAAAAAAAAACCTTTGAGTTACTCAGTTAGAAAGAGAACAAGTAAAAATAGTTTTCTGTCAACCATACTATATCTTCCCAACTGAGCAATAGTGAGAGGAAAAATATCATTCAGGCCTTCAGTCATGGTACCAACATTCATTCTCTGGCTTCCATCATCAAATCCATTCAAGGACTGTCAAGAGAACGGTGAATAAGTTTTAAAAAGAAGGAACAGCAGAGAGGAAAACTGGAATCAGAAGGTCACAACAGGAAGAGAGATCACCATTTCAGCTTAGAGCAAAAGAGATCAATTAGAAAAGATCCAACTCAATCAATAAGACGTTTGGCACATGGAAGAGGAGTTTCAGTTATGAAAGTCCAAAGAGCAGTAAAAAAAGTCTTGAAAATGAAATTGTACGTGAAACCTGTGAGGCACCTTGTAACTCCAGGAGAGAAAGTTAGAAGGTTAGAGGGCAATTATCATTTTGAGTAAGTTGTAAAATGATCCTGGAATAATATATATATATATATATATATATATATATATATATATATATATATATATTTGAACTTTATATCAATCCTTTATGAGCCTCCGACCCTTAGCTATGATTAAATAATGATGAATATGTCATTTTCGTTTATGATCGATTTCATCACGAGCCTTCTGTTAAGCTTTGAGTGCAATTATCTATTCTTATTGCTGCTCAAAGTAGAGCCCAATATTGTTATAAAAAACCTCGGAGAATTCCAGTAAAATATATTTAGTAATTTCTAAGATACAACGGTTCAAACTTAATCTAACAATTGGACAATTTTGCTGTTACACGATTTGGACAATTTTTTTTTGTTACACAGGGTATATTTCCAGATGATAGTGGAATGTAGACTGATCAATCAGAAAAAATAAGCCTAATCAGCTACAGAATAAAAAAGGCCGTTGAATGGCTAAAGAAAGGAATAATTACTGCCCTCGTGACTCTGGCTGTATAAACATTGAAAGACCCACCCTTTTTTTACCACAATTTTAGTAAGGCAGCACGAAGAAATGCTGCTCCTTCACCACACGCCCGGTTAGTGATGTCTAGTTACAGAGGAATGGAGCCAGCAACAGCAATAGAAAATTATTATTACCTAAAGAAGCTAGCCGAGGACTGAAAAAGACGTCTTCTTCAACAAAGACTGTTGACAATTTTAACCGGACGCTAAGTCCTCAGACGCACACTGTCTGCAACCACTTCTTTTTTCCTTTATTTCCCTTTTTTCTATTTCTATATGAAATATATTTAAACAGTAAAAGTTGTTGCGCTTCTCTCTCTTCAAAACCTCTGAACCAGTTCATTTGAACACACGATGACTTAGCACTTACCATACTTAAACTTGGTGTTATATCTTGGCTTAATATTGTGGATGTAATAATCACGATACACGTAGTTAACTCCAGAAAGAAACAATTCATGAATGTTATTTAATAATGCACCATTTCACAAGAATTGTGATACTAGCAATTCGAGGGGGAAAAATGTGAAAGTTTTAAATTCTGATAAAGAAAGAAAACATCTTATGATAAACTAATTAAGAACTACGGTAAACACAAAAACTTTTACCAGTCACAACAATTTCATTAAATTATCTTGTTATAATTGTTCTCGTTCTTTAGTAGTTGCTTTTCTTCATCTGTCATTGTTCCTAATTTATAAATTGAAATTTATCATTGCTACGTATGTACAAGAAAATCCATATAGGGTTTAATACGATTCGGAGTTTTAGGGATCTACTCTGGCATAACAGGAGATTAGTGTGAAGAGAAAAAGAACTGTAAGCTTTAAAGTGATGACTGAAATATTAGATAATTGCAAAAGTTTGTGTGCGATTAGAAAATTAAAATTAGGATTTTACATATTCACAAATCATTTATTAGTCAAGTACATTGTCTCTATTGTTTTAGCAACTGTCTCCCATCGTTCTACAAGCTTTTTGATGCCATTTTCCTGTTTTTGTTGGAAGAAAGGTGTGAAGTAGTTTTTTGACTGACTGTACAGAATTAAATTCTTTTGTCATTTAAATTGTTCTTTAAAGACCAGAAGAAATGAAAATCTGAAGAAACAAAAATCAGGAGAATACAGTGGATGCCTAAAGGGTCTCCCCACCCCTTTCAACTCTCTAAGTTTCTGCAATGTCTGTTTTACAACACGGGGTCTTGTGTTGATGCGGCGAAAAATGACACCTTTGTCAAAATCGGCCCCCGCTTTTTTTAACCGAGTCTCTTCAAGTGACGAAAGGCAGTTGACATATCGATTTTAATACATCTTAGCAATCTCTTCCGTCGGAATCCTTGGTTTATTCTCCACGATGGCAAGCAGAGCGTCTTCCTCGACGTCGGGAGGTCATCCGGGGCGTGGTTGATCGTTTAGATTAAAATCACTCTAAGGAAATCTGGAACACGATCAAAATAAACCTTCTAAATGTGTGTGTGTGTGTTTTTTTTTTTTTTGTCGCAGTTTCAACTTTTACTCCTTTTCGAAATTCATAGCAGATGTGCAACTTTTCATTCTCCATCTTTATGGAATTCATTGGCGGACAAAAGGTCAACATTCAACAAAGTCTGACTCGCAACTGAACGATGAAAGGTTTCAATCTAGAACACAACAGAAATCGGTACCAAAACAAACGTTAATATCAAGTTGATGTCATTTTATGTTAACAATGGAAATCAGGCACAGACTTTTGCAATGATCTAGTTAATGTAAAAACAAAACAATGATGTCAGAAACAAAGAAAATAATGAAAGAGAGAGAGAGAGAGAGAGAGAGAGAGAGAGAGAGAGAGAGAGAGAGAGAGAGAGAGAGAGAGAAAATAACCGAAAAACAAAAGAAGAAAAAGAAAAGAAATGAAGAAATAATAAAAATAATAATCTTGAAAATGAATAAATAAATGAAGTCGCTCTGAACGGGAGAAAAGAAAAAAGACCCAAAGGATAAATGCATACAGGGTAACCCGGATATAAGAGAGTTGTCGGGACCGGAGAAGAAGTCTCTTATATCCGGGTTTCTCTTATATCCGGGTTTGGTCTATTTTATATACATTAACACAGGCTCTAATTTGGGACCGGAGAAGAAGTCTCTTATATCCGGGTTTCTCTTATATCCGGGTTTGGTCTATTTTATATACATTAACACAGGCTCTAATTTGGGACCGGAGAAGAAGTTTCTTATATCCGGGTTTCTCTTATATCCGGGTTTGGTCTATTTTATATACATTAACACAGGTTCTAATTTGGGACCAGAGAAAATCTCTCTTATATACGGTTTTCTCTTATATCAGGGTCTCTTATATCCGGGTCTCTTATATCCGGGTCTCTTATATCCGGGTTACACTGTATTGAAAAATTGTGAAAATAAAAGGAATGCAAAAAGAATAAAGAAAAAAATGAATTAAAAAAATCATTAAAGGAATTAAAAATAATCTGAAAGGAAATATTATTCAGGAGAACGAAGAGGAAATTCTACTAATATCAGAAAAGAGAAAATCAAAAGGTAACAGTGATTAAAGAAGGAAAAGAGAAAAAAAATGAAAGAGAAATCTCTAAAGAAGATTGAAAAAGTAATGAAAAAAATGCATTAAACTCGTAACTAAAAGATTAGGAATGAGAGAAAGAAGAAAAAAATAAAAGGTGAAAAAAAAAAGCTAACTATGAATAACGAGGAAGGAGAAAAAAATGTTAGAGAAATTTTTGAAGAATAAAGAAAAAGGTAATCAAAAGAAAATGTTTAAAAGTCGAATCACCAAGATTAGGAAGGAGAGGAAAAATAAAAATAAAAGGTAAAAATAAAAGATAACGGCGATTAAAGAAGTGAAAGAGAAAATTTAAAGAATGAAAAAAAAAATAATGAAAGAAAATGCTCGAATCGAAAAAAACTGGAATTTACAAAATTAGGAATGAGAGAAAGAAGAAAAAATAACGAAGAAAAAGCTAACGGCGATTAAACGAAAAGAAAAAAAATTTTTAAAAATTAAAGAAAAAAAATGAAAAAGAGAAAGATTTAAAGGAGAACGAAAATCTAATGAAAAAAAAGCTTAAAAAATGAAATCTTCAAGATTAGGAAAAATAAAAGGGAAAAATAAAAAAAACTAACTGTGATTAAAAAGAGGAAAGAAAACAATGTGAAGGAAATCTTTAAAGAAGATTGAAAAAATAATGAAGGAAAATTCTTAAAACTCGAATCTAGAAGATTTGTAGTGAGAAAAAAGAAGAAAAAAGAGGGGAAAGCTAAGAGTGAGCAAAGAAGGGAAACAGAGAAAGAGAAAACTTTAAAGAAAAATGAAAAAGTAATGAAAGAAACTGCTTAAAACTCGAATCTACAACATTCGGAATGAGCGAAAGAAGAAAAAAATAACAAGAGAACAAGCAAACGGTAATTAAAGAAGGGAACAAGAAAACAAAAAAAAAATGAAAGAGAAAACTTTAAAGAAAAATGAAAATGTAATGAAAGAAACTGCAAGATTAGAAATGAGCAAAGGAAGAAAAATAAAAGGAAAAAAATAAAAGCTAACAGTGATTAAAGAAGAGAAAGAAAAAATGAAAGAGAAAACTTTAAAAAAAAAGAATGAAAACCTGATGAAAGAAAATGCTTAAAATTCGAATCTACATGCTTAGGAATGAGAGAAAGAAGGAAAAAAGATGAGAAAAGCTAGCGATGATGAAAAATGGAAAGAGAAAAATGAAAGAGAAAACATTAATGAAGAATCTAAAATAATGAAAGAAAATTCTTAAAACTGAAATCTACAAGATTAGGAATGAGAGAAAATAAATAAAAATATTGTGGGGGAGACTTAACGATGATTAATGAAGAGAATGAGAAAGAAAATGAAAGAGAAAATTTTGAAATGAATGAAAAAATATTAAAACTTAAAACTGGAATCACCAAGATTAGGAATGATAAAAAGAAGTAAAATAAAAGTGAAAAAAAAAGAAGGTAACTGTGATTAAAGAAGGGAAAGAGAAAGAAATGAAAGAGAAAAGTTTAAAAAAGAATGAAAAATGTAATGAAAGAAAATGCTTAAAATTCGAATCTACAAGATTAGGAATGAGAGAAAATTAAAAAAAAATGTGGGGAACTTAACGGTGATTAATGAAAGGAATGAGAAAGAAAATGAAAGAGAAAACGAAAGATAAAACTTTAAAATGAATGAAAAATGTATTGAAAGAAAACCCTTAAAACTGGAATCACCAAGATTAGGAATGATAAAAAGAAATAAAATAAAAGTGAAAAAAAAAAAAAAAAAAAAAAAAGGTAACTGTGATTAAAGAAGGGAAAGAGAAAGAAATGAAAGAGGAAAGTTTAAAAAAGAATGAAAAATGTAATGAAAGAAAATGCTTAAAACTCGAATCTACAACATTAGGAATGAGAGAAAGAAGAAAAAATAAATAAAAAATAAAGGAAAAAAAAACAAAACCTAACGGTGATTAAAGAAGTGAAAGGGAAAAATAAATGAGAAAGATTAGGAATGAGAAAAAGAAAATAGAATGAAACAAAAGTAAAGAAAGGAAAGAACGAGGGAAGCAATATCTGAAGAAAGAAGAATTTAATTCTACAAGAAAGGAGGCGATCATTGGCATAAGGGCGAAAGTAGAACGATATAGTGGGTGTCGCTATTCATTGTAGAACATTTGCACTTAAACTGATAGAGACCGAGCGTTCGACATAAGGAAATGGAATAGAATTTCATTCTCTAAATACCACTGAGCAGCAGGAACCCCTTCTTATTTTTATAATTATCTGCTTTTACTTTCCTTCTGTCACTGTCTTTTTACTCACTCGTCCATCAAACGAAGAATTATCTCATTTATACAGCATAGCGACATCAGTTCATAATGGCTCCCAACACATGGAGTTCTTGTAACACTTTTTTTTCCCTTTGTATTTTATTTATTAATTTCGGGGCTATCCGGTTAGTAATGTTTTTCTTACCTTATATATCAAGCTTTACCCAAAGCATTTTAGATAGGACGTTGTTACTATACGACACAAGTATCGAATATTTTACAAGTCAACAAATATATCCATTGTAACAAACTAAATATAGTGGCTAAGTAACACTATTCTTTATAAAAGCATGCAGTATGTCCATTTTTAGAAGCAATTACTGCTTTCAGCTGGACTCGAACCAGACTCGCCTTTCTCCCAAAAATACAGCGTGAGTCTTGACGTGGGGAAATGTTTATTGAGCTGTTCTGGTTACTACTTAGAAGGAAATTCCGACCCTCAAGTGTGCTATATACTTGCCGGTGGGGCACCTCAAGGCGGTGTAATGGTTAGCAAGCTTGGCTCGCTAGGACAATTACGACTGAGCAGTGAGTTCGATCCTCACTGGGTGCCCCCTAATTTCGGCCTTGTGCCACATATGAGCTACGCTTGGAAAATCACTATATACTAGCCGGTTTGTACCAAAGTATGTTAAGGTTAATTAATAACGGCCAAAACAAACCAGAATGAAGCATCTATCTTTATACAAGGACAGGGCCATCTAAATCACGTATTTTACTAATATTTAAATGTACTGAGTGTTTCCATTGGGAAGATTATATTACAGTAATGAAAGTCAGTCAAAGAACTCTGAAAGTATCTTCTTGTGAAAAACAATAATTTGATTCCATATCTCTTCAGGATGTATGCAATCATGACACGCCACAGAATTCTTTACTTTATTATCTGTGAATTGCCAGACCATCTCATAGTGGAGGTCGTTGGGGACAAAAAAAAAAAAAAAATAAATTCATCTCTTAGCTAAGGTTATTTGTTCGAAATTGAATCGTGAACTATCACCAATCACAATGAAGGGATGTTCTCTCAGAGAGGCACCGTACCTTGGGCAACTATTGGGCCTTAGACTCAACCCCAGAACTCAAGTGGAACTCGTACATACAATCCATCGTTAAAGATGCTGGAAAATGGTCGGTTCCGCTCCAGTGAGTAATTGACCCCTCGTGCTATTCACAAGAGCTCTTTACAAGAGCCACATCAGGCCGAAAATGGAGAACTGCCGCCATATTTGGACAGAAGCTGCCTCGTCCCCTCACTTTCAAGTCTCGACAGAGAACAAAAGTGTCTCCGTCTCCTTGTAGCTGATAAATTATTTTCCAGCCTACAGTCCCTCCTTTACAGACGAAACATCGGAAGCCTCTCGCTGCTTTGTTACTATTTTCACGATAAGTGCTCAGACGAACTAGTTTCCTTATCTCCACTAATTCTAACCTTTACGATTAAGACTCGCCATGCCACGCACATTGTAGCGACCTCTCCCCCCCCATTTCCTTCGTATTCCATTGATGGCATGTACGTTCCGCTAAATCAGCTTCTTCCCGCAAACCGCTGCTCTGTGGAGCCAACTCTCAGAAGGATACTTTCCCGATCAGTTCAATTTTAACCTGTTCAATGCTAGAATTAACTGTTATCTTCCCCATATATTCGCATAAACACTGACTCTTACTGTGATCACCTCTACCTTGAGCGGCTCGCGGGCTTTCTAGAGGGTGGAGCCTACGTATAAAAAGAAAAGAAAAGCAGCCCGGAATCTGAATAACACTAAACAGAGCTGGATGTTTATTTCTTTATCTATTATCGTGACATGTGAGTATCAAGCCTTCAATCAAGATGATATATAGTACTTATAATAAGAATAGACATCTTATAAAAGGTTCGGAATATGAACTTAGGGCATGGAAGATTAATACCAACAAAATTTTGCCAAAACTGTTGATTAATTAAACTTTGAATAAAGCCTGTTTGTTGGGTCAGGTCGTTTCTTGTCTTCCGCCATTTCTAGCTGTCGGCTTTCGAACATCGACAAATTCAGGAACTTGAACGGTGATTTTCAAACTGGGATGAGAGTTCGCACCTGGAAAATTGACGCAGTACATTCTTCTTGTTTCCTCTTACTCTGGCATGTTACATATTAACCTGTGCTTGGTAACTATCACAATTAGATATGAGCGTTGAAGGAAAGCGTTGTTCAATTTTTAACCGAATCCTGGTACAAAAACCAGGTATTGATTTTAGTAGCGTTTTAGGTTGAGAAGATGCTAAGGAAAACATTTTTTTTTTACTTGTGCTGAGTTGGTTAGTAGAAATAGACAAACAAAAGAATAGACATAATTTTAACTCTATCGAGAATGTTCAAGGAAAATTCCTGAAAGATCGTGCAAATTTAAGGAATGTTCTTATAATAGTCCTTGTAAAAAAACAGGAATAAATATCGTTGAATTTCCTTTGTTGCGTGAAAATATGAGGGATTGTAGTGTCTATGCCATGTGTTGTGTTCTGAAATTAAATTATACCTTTATTATCCTAGATTAGACCTTTAAAATCCTACCTCGGATTTTAAAGGTCTAATCTCATCGCGTTACGCATTGCCAACACGGTTTTTAACGCATGCGCGTCTGGTCAAACAAACTCTGACCGCTGCTACATTTTTTTAAAGAATTTATTCAGATGAGAAGATTAACATAAAAGAATATTTCTGTCTTTGCTCAGATTTAAATTTCTGGCATATTAAGCTGAGCAAAATACAGTTATTTACTTTGTTTAACCCTCAGAACATTATATTTAAGGCTCTAGGTTCAAATTTTAGAATTGTCCTACGGAGCAATGGTCAAGAAGTCCTTGAATTTATTTGACCCAGTGGTCACAGGTTGAGCAATAAGTGACAAGAACAAAATGGACAATTAACGAAAGATGAAATACCCCTAGACATGGAGTGTCCAATCAGATTTAATAAAGGTTTCAGTTCGAAAGTCCTTGAAGGTATCGAAAGATACCTGAAGAAGATCGGTGGACACAACGACCGAAATGTTGTCATATTAAAAAGAAGGACGAGGAGATTAGTTCGAGTGTAGAAATATAAGTAATAACTTCTTATATCTGAAAATGTAAATGTCAGTTTCGTCTTTAGTAGGTTAGTGATTTATTTAACACTAACGCTACAAGTCGGTGTTTGAGATCCAGTCAAGGCGGAGTATTTTTATTTTATTTATTTTTTATTTAGCTTTTTACTCTTCTAACAAAATTTGTTAAGATAAGGAATTAACTACTGCACAAGGAGATCAGTATCCACTTTCTAAACATGCGGTGAGCGATGCGTAAACCATTTTTATACTGCTCTTTTTGACATGAATGTAATTTTAAATAGCGTTAATAAAACAAAGGTAACTTGCTAAAGAAAAAATCATTTCGAAAGAAGGGTGAAAATACTTGCGAAAAATCTAATTTTTGGTGGAAGATTTCAGCATCGCAATCTTTTTTTCACGTAGGATGTACCCTTTTCTTTTTAACCACATAGACACGGAACTGAAGTGAAGATCTTCCAGTTTAGCTGACTATAAGTAAGTAGGTATGCAAATGACGATTATATCTCTTTGGGAGAGATGAATTCACAAGGGTTATGCGATGGCCAATGGGTGAAGTCGCGAAGAGCGAAGTTCGTGGGGTGATGATCTCCACTTGCGATATAAACTGCTGGGTAGCAATACATGACTGCCCACAACAGTTAAGAAAGCAGAGGAAACCACGTGGTCTCGCTAAGTGCATAAATGACACCACCGGTTTGCCTCGGGAAATATTTTATTTAAGACCCTCTCATTTTTGAACCTTTCACATACTTCTTATATTCCTATGTATTGCAATTTCTCTGTGTGATACACATAGTGACACACACACACAGACACAGACACACACACACACACACACACACACACACACACATATATATATATATATATATATATATATATATATATATATTTACATATGTTCAGTTCTGATATTGAGCACTTTAATCCATAAATATAGTATACCTTAAAACAAAATTATCATAGGAAAATCTGAATGGCCCTTTCACTACAGAATTAATAATTATCGCAATCGAATTAAGTCGACTCCCCATGAAAAATTATTACCTGTAGAACAACATTTCCGCCTAGAAAAACACGATTTCAAAACCCATGCCAAATTCACTATAATTGAGAGAATAGAAAAGTTCAGAGCAGATAACATTAGAAAGATTTTAGAGTTCCATAAAAATAAGTGGATACAACGTTTAAAAACACAATATGCAGCAGGGCTAAACCACAAATTTAACAATATAGATTGTATTAATATATAACCTACAAATCAAAAAACCCAAATTTCTCACCACACAAGACAGACATGCTTACGGAGGTGTTGAGGCCTCACTTATACACACACACACACGAATATACACAATTATACATCATACTCACTCATCCCTAATGAGCCAATTGATAACACACGCCCACAGTAAAATTTACATATCATACTCACTCACTCCCTAAGAACCTAACACACACACACACACACACACACACACACACACACACACACACACATAACAGAAAAACACATCCCTCTCCAGCACCAATAAAACTGGGTTAGGGGAATTCAGAGCAGCATAGATCCATCCTGCTCTTATCTAAAATAACAACTTAAAAAGAGACTGTTTGACCAACACAAGGAATGTTAAAAGATTCATGTTAAAAAAAAAAAAAACAAATGAAAACTACAGACAAAAGTTAATTTTCCCCATCAAGACATTCATTTCTGT